GGAGTGGCTCTGGTTGTTTAAATCTGTGCTGCTGGCCGGTGGCTTGGGGCAGCTGGGGTCTGGGAGTGACTGTGGTCAGGGCTGGAGACAGTGGGGAGCAGCCTGGCAGCCACTTTGCTGTCACTCCAGGGTTGGGTTTCCGAGGGTTCCTGGGGAGGCCCCATGGGATCAGACTGGGCCAAGAGCGAGGTGGGGATCGGGGTTGGGGACCGGCCCCCGGGGGGTTGGTGCGGGTGTGGGACTGAGCAGCTTTGAACCTTTTTCTTTCCTTCTGAGTCAGCTCAGACTGGGCCAGAGAGACACCTCCCCTCCCAGCCTCAGTTTCTCTACATGGGAATGGGACCAAAGCTTAATCCTTCTTGCCCAGGCAGGGTACTTACCCTGGAGCTCGGTCTAGATCCCCAAGAAGGGGAGAGAGGGCCCCACCATGACCCCGAGCCTGGACAGATAGGGTATCGTGTTGGGTCCCATACAGGCCATATATTCCTAGAAAACCATGCCTTCAGAGTGGGCTCTAGAGTCCGTGTCACCTTTACCACTTAGTAGCTATGGCGTCAGTCTGTGTGCCTCAGTGTCCTCCTCAGTAAAATGGAAATAGCAGGACCTGCCTCGCAGTGCTGACACGAGGATTAAATAGGAGAGGAGAGCCACCTCCACGAAGCTGGGGCTGGGGGGCTGGAGCCCCAGTTTCTTAGCTTCCTCTCCCTCCTCCTCACAGCAGTCCCTGGGGGTTTGAAAACCCCTGATTCCAGTGCAATTGCCCAGAGAAGGCAAGGGGCTCTCCTAAGGACACACAGCTGATTCTTGGCAGTGCTGAGACCCCCAGTCCAGGCCCTGAATAGTGCTGTCTCCAGGCCAAGCCCGGCTGGCCTCTTCCTGTGGTCTTTGTGCCCTGGGGGAGCAGCACCTCCTTTATCTCCCTGCCTAAGGCAGCGCTGGGGCTGCACTTTCTCCCTGGCTCTCCATGGCCCTGGGACACACAGCTCATACCCTTCAGAGGGCCCTCAAGGCCCCTCGTGACCGGCACCTGCTTCCTCTTTGTCCAGTGATCCCTCCTGCCTGGAGTACTCCTCCCTGACCCAAGCTGATCAATTCCTATTGTCCTCCAGGGTCCCGTTAGGACAACACCTCTTCCAGGAAGCCCTCCTTGATTTTGCCTCTGGGCTCACGGCCCCCCTGGTCCCTGAGAATTCTTATCCCCCTGCATTATACATTATGATAGCCTATCTATTTGTCATTTCTTAAGGTCAGAGATGGTAAATCCGTAGGGAGGGATTATTAAATGACAAAAGGAAACAATTAAATGCCCCAGACTCTGAAACCAGCGAGGGTGGGTCCTTCTGGCTCCCCCAGCCCATGCACCTGCTGACACAGGCCATTCCTCCTAGCATTCCCACTTCATCTGGAACCGCACCGAACTCCTGACCCTTGACCCCTACACTGTGGACTACCTCTTGGGTAAGTGGAGGAGGTGGAGCAGAGGACACATGGCTGGGAGTCCTGTGGTCAGAGCTGTGCAAGGCCCCAGGCTGCCCACATAGGGACCTTTGCTCTCAGGCCCCAGGACCTGGGAGGGGCAAGGAAGGGGCTCTGGTTCCTGGAATTGGGCCTGAAATCTGCTGGCCGTGCAGGAGCTTTAGCCCTGTTGGGCACAAGGGAAAACTGAAGCTCAGAAGGGGAGTGGCCTGCAGCTGAGCAGCTGTGTGGCCCAGGCACGCTGGAACCCTGAGTGGGAGCTGGGACTTATGCAGCTCCTGGGCTGTGCAGCAGGGACCTGGTGTCGGCTCAGCTGTGTGTCCAGGTTATCTCTAGGTCCTGATAGATCTCCACTCCTCCCCAGGGAACAGGAGCAGGTGAGGGGCCCAGGGCAGCTCCAGGCTTGGTGGGGGGCTTCCCCCAGAGACCCAACAGTATGCAAGGCAGAAGCCACAGTGCCTTGGAAATCACATCCCGTCATTTCAGCGGCGTTCTGTCGGATACAGATGCTAGCCCTGTACCAACAAGGGTGTGAATCCAGGAGGCAGGGATCACTGGGCACCATCTTGGAGGCTGGCTTCTCCAAGTTTCCCAGGCACTTTGAACCCCATGTGACACAGAGTGAGTTTCTGTTCATCGAAGCTATTGTTTGGTTGTGTGTTCACTCATGGAAGGGCGGGGTGTTCTGGAAGGAGAACATCCAGAAACACCAGCACATAGAAGCTGTTGACATGGGCAAGGAATGAATCACTCTCCTTAGGTCACAAGTGAGAAAACCAAGCTCAATGGACAGAAGGGACCATGACCCCAAATCTACTGTTTCCCTGCACAGGCCACTGAGCCCTTCAAACCTGATATGTAAATGTGCACAGCCCAGCTGCCCAGTGAGTCCAGACCAAGTCCTCTGCCTTAGGGCCACCATGCTGTGTCCCACACCCTTCAGGCTGGAGGATTTGAATCCCAGGTCTACCACTTCCCAGCTGAAAATAGCAAGTTATTGAACTCCTCTGGGCCTCAGTCTCCTCCTCTGTAAAATGGGCAC